GACAAACGCGAGATTGGCTCAAGAACCGCGAAAAATCGAATTATTCTATAAAAAGCGCGAATTTAGCTTTAAAGTATTGCGCACAACTCTGTTTACGAAAAATTTTACACATTTAGCGAGTTTTGAATAATAACGCGCAAGAAGCTGCGAGTGTGCAAAAATAAACCGCTGGAAACGTAGATTTATATGACAGCATATTATTATTTATGACAGCTTAGATTTATCAGAGAAGTTAATTCTTGTAGACTCATCTTCCACTAAAAACTCAGCATCACCACGCGAATCTTTCAGTACGTCAAAATCAGTTAGAAGTTTCACCCTTTTTTTCGATCAGCGCTTTACTGTTGCTCGTTTTAATTGTTTGGCTCTCGCTCGTGGACGCATTATGGCACAGCCTACTGTTCATGCCATCAGCATGACTCGTGGACAATGTCGTTCAATACAAGTTTTACATCCAAATCCAGTACTTTATATATTTTTAGCTGAACAATTTGCTCAAGATATTGAAGAATTAATTATCCAACCAAAACACAATTGAACGTACCATGAATTTTTTCAGAGCAATATTTTCGCATAAAAACATACCAGAGCCGGAGAATATTATCGTCACGAGGTGGTTACAAGAACCATATTCATATGGCTCATATTCGTATTTTAGTGTTAACTCTAGTGAAGAAACTGTTAAGGATTTAGCAAAAGAGTATGGATCATTGTACTAGGCGGGTGAACATACAAATTTTGGTAGTGGTAACTCCATTAGTACTGTTCATGGTACTTGGAGAAGTGGAGAAAGCGAAGCTCAAAAATTGTTAAAAAGACCACAACATTTCTAAATGTTGATGAAAATCGTTACCTTCGCAAGAAAAAACCATTTACATTTTTCTTAGTCCTGATCCTAAGTGACACTCTGAATTACGACTTGAAACACTCACTCTAACGTATTGGTTTTTTCTACTTTAGCTTTAACGATAGTGCAAAACATACCAAGCGTCAAAAAATATCTTGTATCGCCCGATTCATCTAGATAATCCAAGAACGACAAGGACTTTTGCTATGGAAGTTAAAAAGCATAGTTTTTATAGTGGCAAAAATTCGATATGAAACATGGAATTTAGGTTATTTCTCAATACTCATTCGTGTTTTATTTTTATTGTCACGTTTCAACGTCAAAGACGTCTTCGTCAGACAAAAGTAGAATAAATGTGAAGAATAGATGATTAATTAAACTATATATATGTAATAGTGCCGACTAAGAACAAGACGGAGACAAAGTGTTAAAGAGACAACGACTGATTATCGCTTTCTTCTTTGTCAGCACTATTATCTCCGTCTTGTATGTTCGTAAGAGAAGAACTGTTGAATTTTTGTCGTTTTTATACTTGGGGCTGACCAAAAGTTCTATCATCGTTAAACAAAAATATGAAGATGAAGAGGAAGTTCCAGTTTTAATTTATTAAATATTCAAAATAGGCGCCATGATTATTTATACAAAGTTCCATTCTTTCTAACAATTAGTCAAAAGTTTTTTAAAGTCTTCTTCTGAAATATTTTTCGCTACCTTGGAAATCGTACGAGCCAATGATTTTTCATTTGCTTGGTCAGTTAAATTACGCTTGATGTAATCATTTAGCCAATAATCACATGGTGCAAGGTCAGCTGAATACGGTGGATGCGGCATTATATTGATACCTTCTTCTGTTAAATAATTGATAGCACCTGAATGAGTATAAGGTCGAGCACTGTCGTGAAGCAGTTTTATACCCTTCGTATCGGATGACTTTCTTTGTTTCCATATTTCTTGGACAACAGACTTGAGGCAATTTTCTATATAATAGTTGTGATCTATAGTATTGCTTTTATCAACAGCATGTATAAGAACAGGACCATTTGATTTCAAGAAAATAGAAAATAAATTGTTTGGTTCAAATTTACTTCGACGAACAATAGTGATTGGTGATTCACCTTCGCCGACTCAGCTTGTATTTGTTGACTTGTGATCAATCTGCCTATGGTAAATCCATGCCTCATTACCTGTAATAATATTACATAATCGCCAGGAACCACCACGAAATTTCGCCGAATTTTCACGACAAAGTCTTTCCGTCCGGGCTTTCGAGCGACTTTCTAGGCCGAGTTATTGGCAAATCTTTTAAAGGATTGCGGGTCAGTCGGATCACTGAAAGTAAAATGGCCTTATCTTAGCCTAGAGATGCCCTTGTAGGCTCGAGGGCGTCGCATATTGCTCGGAATTTGACGCTCTGTGGATAGGATGTGCTTGGGACGAAAAAGATTTTCAAAAAACTCTTGAAGGTTTTTCAGAGTTCTGATTTTTTGCAAAGCCTACCTGGAAAGCTCCAAAGCTCTCAAACGCATTTCTAATGTATTCAGTATTGCTTTTTACCTAGCAAACCACAATAGCAGTGCGCTAAGTGGAAGTATCACTGAGTTATGAACTCATCATCTGAACGACTTTTCGAAAAACTGGCACTTTTTCAGTGTTTTACGTCCTGTGTAAAAAATGACGATAAATGGAAAAAAACATTTTTTTCTGATGTTTTATGCAGTTTTACATGGGATCTGCTCTTGCCGCACCAGCTATAACTCAAGTTGCCCCACTTTTTTTCAGAGTTTCTGCACCTCACTCGACAGAGAATTGCTCAATGTACAAAACGGGGAAATAAAATTTGGGGAGTTGGATGTTTAAGGTACTCAAAAGAACAAAAACTGAAAAAAAGTGATAACTTCGAAATTAAAAATTGTTATGAAAAGCACTTTTCTCCTAGCAAAAGAAGAAGATTGAATAAACACTTTAGCATGGATGTATTGTCCTAACTCTCCTCTTTCAAACAGTACCTGAACCAAAAAATTTCGCTCGACAGTTTTTGAGAAACTCGAAAAATACGGAGCAACACCAGAATGCTGAATTTTTTTTAAAAACGTTAAGAGTAGCAAAAGTAAATGCCGTACTAACTTTTGATAAAAACGTTTTCAAACAGATCTAAATAGATGGTCAGTCTCCATTTTGTTAAGGCTTTCAAATGAGATATACATGAGATCAATCGGGGAACCGTCAGGTGCCGCCGATGGTCGGTATTTTCGCGGACTTTCTCTTAAAAAATATGAAAGGAATTGTTTTAGTTGTAAAAAATACCCAGATTTTATTCTGATACTCAGAAAAAGAAAAGAAATACGAAAATGCCTCCAAACATTTCCTTTTTTCTAAACAGAACCGTTAGAAAAAAAACTTCTCTTGAGAGAAATGAAAAAAAACGGTTATGAAAAGAGAAAATAAAACTTATTGATTATGCCGATATGTACCTCGTTTAAGATACCTCTTCTTAAGTTGGTTTTATCCTATTTGACAACATAACAGTCTCCTCTATCAACTGAATATACAAAATTTTTAAAATCTGATACACGCAATGAAAGTGATGAATAAAGGAATAAACTCTACTACACCTTTCTTTTTTATGCTTTTTCACAACCGCTTCATAAATATTCTTTTTCTCTATGGTGGTGATGTTCTTTTTTGTTTTGTTTAAAGAATGCTTTCAGGAGATGCAATATAGCCCGTAGGACGACGATTTCACTTGATTAATCTTCTTTTCTCGTTCATTTTGATTTCTTTAAATAAACACCTTAAATTTATAATTTTTTCTTTTACACAGTACAACTGAGTGATGGACCAACAAGCCAATGATCAACAGGAACAACATCCAGGTTGCATCGAATTAATTCGATGTATCGAACCTACAACCAAACAACGAAATGATTTTCAATATGTACCACACTTAGAAATAAACAAAGAGGCACAAGAAATTATATCAGAACGATTTAAATCGCCAATATCAATTGTCGTCTACGTTGGAAATGTGGGTGCCGGTAAAAGCAAGCTGGCGACATTAACGGTGGAGACTTTACAGCAAGATCGGTCGAATCCTCCATTACGGACATTTCGTAGTGGTGCGGGTATCAGTGGTGTTACTCATGGTGTTTGGATGTGGCATGAGCCATTGCAGCATCCTGACGAAACTAAAGAAGGTTCAATATTATTGTTAGATTGTGAAGGAATGGGTGATTTAGATGAAAATACAAGTGCCAAGTTATATTTGTTTTGTATGATTATCAGTACAGCATTTGCCGTCATTCTTCGTCCAGCTCGCGTTGATCATTTGCAATGTGATCGCCTTTATAATGCTTTAAAGCGTTGCGAAAATATGGGTACACCCTTCATATTACCGAATCTATGGTTAGTACCATTGGATATGCCAGAATTTGTTTACAGCGACCCGAAAAGGGGCGATATTAAGATTACAAAAGAACAGTGGTTACAACAAGTATTCAGCGTGAGTTCCAATGCATTATCAACAAACGAAAATCAATTATTAGCATCACGCTATGAATATATTACTCGGCAGTTACCACAAATTGGTGTTGTTAATCTTGATTATCTACCACGATCATTGATGAACAATAGTGAAACATTAGACACATACACATTACTACGATCATCTCCAGAATATTTTGAGTCATTGAAAGCAGCCATTTATCAATTGTTATCACATAGTGGAAAAAGGTTGCCAGGAAGTGGTTCAGATCTTCTCTTTGTTCGTCCAGCCGAATTAGCAGCGCTAATGGGTGAATTAATCGATGTTCTCAATAATGATAAAATGCCTAATCCTGATGCATTAATCGGCCGATATTTATTAACACGTTTTACAGATCAAATTGTGGAACAACAAATGGCTCAATTTAAAGAAGAGATACTGGCGGATACTGAACATGTACTTTGCTCTCCTATGCGTAAACAACACACGCCAGAAACACCAGATGAACTAAATGCAACCAATACCAAAATGAGAGATATACGCAATCGTTTAATAACAAAATATCTCGGTACAGTGGTCGGTTTAGCACGATATCAAATCTATGGCCTTGATTCAAACCTATCCGAAGGTTATGACAATGTGGATCAACAAAAACAGGCTTTACTAGGCTTACCAAAATTAGTACAAGATGAATTGATCAATCTACAAGCACAAATGAATAGATACCAAGAACCGGAATTGTTGATCGAACAAACGCGAACAACTTTAGCCGTCAAAGATTTACATCGTCAACAACAAGAAGAACGAACATTGTTGGAAGAAATTAAGAAAAAATTAGAAAATAAACGAGACCTTGTGTTTCGTCAAAAGCGAATCAATATTTCATTGAAAAATGCAAATTCAGTGAGAGTTGGTCTTGCACCGTGTTCGCAATGCGGTCGTGTAGGTGGTGCTGTTAATATTACTCATCCAAAACAAGATTGTACTTCCCACCGTACGGGGAACTATTATTATTATCATAATGATAATGATCGAATGGTTTGTGATGCGTGTAGAGAAATAAAACAAATATCAACTACAGGTGTCGAATGTAGCCGATGTGGAGCAGCACGAAAAGTCACACGATACTTCTGAATTGAAGCATATTGCACGTTATATGCGCAACGTATGAATAAAAAAGTAATACAAAGATATTCTAACTTTTTTTTCTTTTCTTCAGAATGGCGTACGCTTCTCATAAGTTTCTCAATGATATCTGTTTTATGATAGATCTTGGCTTAGTTATCTCACTTACACATCAAAAGATCAGAAAAGTGTTCTTGATATTAGCAAAAAGAGCAATACATATTCTATAAAATTGGCTAAATTTACATACTAGCCTTGTCCTGTACTGGTATCACTTGTAGCCGAGCATTATAGTAATTATTTTGATTTTTTTTCAATCCTTCCAACCTCAAAAAGAGTACCTGGTAACATATACTATTCACCGTCTCCTTTGGAAAATGCTAAGTCAGATAAATTGTCTCTCAAATTGTCTCACTTCTACTCAAGCACGATCTAACATACACTGTAAGGATATAGATCCTCTAGTGGCTAACTCTAATCGTAGAAGTAAAGCTATATTGAGAACCAACTCTCTCTCCCATATCTTTATTTGAAGTAAATGAACAGCTATATATAGTACAAAGAACCTTATGAACCTTATGAGCTGCCGGGGAAGGCAGATCATAACATACACTTTCAGTTCACATAAAGGATTTAACTATCAGAGTCTCGAATACTGACATAGTATCCTTGTACAATTTACAAAATAGCAGAGCTGGGCAACTCCGCTGACTTTCAACTCCAACTTCACTCCAACTCAACTGCATTTTCAAAGTTCCAACTCTAACTCCAACTCCGCTCACAATTTTTCAACTCCAACTCTCTCAACAAAAGGTTCAACTCCAGTTCATCTCCGGCTGCTTCACTTTTGTAAGGATGATTTTTCGGTTTTTAGCAGGATTCCGGACGGTTTTGAGCTTTTTCCGGCCTGGAAAGCGCAAAGAACTTCCGAATTCACTCGGGAATACAGCCACTCAATCGTTTAGAAGATCAGTTTACAGCTATTGAATATTCCCAAAAATGTAAAATGGAGCTAAGAATAGAAATTCAAAAACCCAACTCCAACCTACTAAAATCTCCACTCCAACTCCAAAATGAACATGATCTTCTACGATACTTGCAATACCATTGTTATTTATTATTTCAATATTTATCTTTGAAAGAAATTCTTTTATTTCTTTGTATTCCCATTGTTTATATTCACCTGAAAATAAAAACTATAAAGTAAATTTTTCATGAAGTCGAGTAAAATTGAAAGTGGTTGAGAATTTAATTAGTTTCGTTGAGAATATGAATCACGTCACTTTTACGTCATTAAGTCAACAACATTTCGATATTAGATGTTAATAAGATTTCTTCAGAATATCAATTTGATAAGAGAAACCTGAAACTTCATCTAGTGTGACTTGATTCGAAACTGCAAATAGAAGAATATTTTCATACATAAGAAAGTGAATTTCATGCACAATTCATTATGATCATGTACCAACATAGTTCTTGTTTTATTTCACAAAGTTCAAGAACTTGAATTTATAGTTGAGCATAGGCGCCCATGAGCATGGGCGAAAAAGCGCTCGATGGCTTCTTCTCAAGTAGAGAAAACGTATTGATTCCGAGGAAAACGGAATGGTAGAGGTTACGGTTTTCGTCATTCAATAGCCAAGACTTTAAAGCATCGTTTTATAAGCAACAACTATTTCAAATTATTTTTAAATATGAGTTTCCAACGAGCCTCTGGAAGACCATTTTATAGGCCGAAATTTTTATATAGCAACGTATAAGTCTTTTTCTATGAATAGGTAGCCTAAAGTGTCCTCGTCAAAACGGAAACTAAACAATCTCTTATTTTACAACATTACTTCGCCGCATAGAATTTCCCTAGAGTTTCATGATCGACACTTTTCAGGTGAGGTAGTTTCGAAGATAAATGGAAACATAGTAGGTTATCTACCACGCTGAGTCTCATGATAACTTTAGTTTTTCGAAAAGGCCCAAAAACTTAGTGAAAAGCTAGATTAGGTGAAATATTCCATTTTGCGCAATTTTTATGTAAAATTAGAAAATTAATAACTTCATCAAAAAAATAACAACACTAAGAGTTACCTTGAAAGAAAGTCGACTGATGTAAGATGATGGTATTCAAAACTCAACCAGGATTATTTTTGTAGCATGATTAGACAGAGCTCGTCCATTAATATAGAAAAGTATAAATTCTATCCTTTGGCATAACATTTTCCTATCAAAATGTTTCAACATATTCATTTCCTGACAAAAACATAGTAACATTTTCAAAACGATGTCGTACATTACCGATAACAATTGGAATGACAATTAAAAATAGAGGTAGAAACAATAAGTAAACGGTGAACTGGAAAAAAATTAACAATAAAAAATAAAAGTGTTCATCAAAGTAAGAGAGTGGCTTTAGTTGCAAAATAAGAGATAAGTAAGAAGAAGAGAACTGAGAAATAGAGAGGGAGTGTTGTTCATTCGGAACGTTTTGTTTCGCAAATATAATCTATTATTACTTCATAAAGGTCTTGATAAAATTGATGCAGAAAGATATTCCGTAGGACTAGTGTTTCAATATCGATGTCGACAGTCGAGTCACGATGTTTTATTCTATTGAAAAGTCTTAATCTAACTAAATGATAAACTGGACATGAGAGAAAGAAATGCTCGGCCGATTCATTTTGAAAACAGTCACAAAGCTCATCACCCAGGTTTACTTGTCTAATTCAGCATAAAAAACTAAGCTTAAATTGGTTCTCATATTTTTGCAAGACAAAGTAGTGCCAAAATTCGTGACACACCAGTGGAATCGTCGACGCCCTACTGCACATCTTGTGAAAATATTTGCTCTCAGCGATTAATACACAAAATAGCTGTTCTTATTTCCATCTTACTTACTGAAATATAAGAAACGGAGTCTCATCTTTTAGTTAATACTATTATTCCGGTAGCAAAATAAGAGAGTGCGGATCACCTTGTACTTTCGTTTGTTGTTGTACATGACTTTGTTGTATATTATTATTAACACAAAACAATGACACTTGTGTTTTATTATCCGTCTCTAGGCAATGGTACTTTTCTTGTTTACTTTTCATTAATACGAAATTCAAGTACATGAAAACTGAGTATTGATTTTGAACTGAGTATTGTTAGGAGAGAAGTCCTATATAAATTCTTTTTTCAAATCCTATACTTTCGTATATTTTCAGGCTGGGCACGTACGTACCCGGGACTCTAGCCTGTTGGGACCAGGTATGAAACTAATAGAAATCAGACAGAGATATATACAAGTTTTATGATGTATATTCTAAAATAGCTGTTCGAAACCTGTGCCAGATCAGCCCGTTCTACGCTGGCTCAGCATCCCGAAAGATGATTGACTGGAGGTGGTATTTTGTATCAGAAAATCTTGTAGCTTTTTCTTCTTGATCAGAAAGGAATAATTAAAGTTTATTTATGAGACAAAGCTGCATTAACATACAAAAGCAATGACGAAGAAAATCGAAGTGCGAAGTTTGCGAGTTGAATAATGTACTACTTCGATAGTTTGGGAGGTGAATAATGTATTAGTTCGATAGTTTTCCTTGTACATTCAATTCAAAATTTCCATACGAACATGAGTCAAATGCTGACACGATCACCAAATAGGTTCCTTCATCCAATGTCCACTCAACAATGCTGCATTACAATTTTTTCCTTCATCTGCTTGTTCACCATCATCATTCGACGCTAAAATCTGAGACATTGGCATGTCGTCCATGGGAGATGCGAATAATGAAAGCACTGGATCAGCCATGCCCGACGTTTTTCATCTTTCACAACCAACGTTCGTATTAGCTTGAATTGTGACGTCCGTTTTAGAACTGAGACTGATGCAAAAAACGACGTTCCTACTGTCAACACGAAGAGATGTGGATGTACCGAGACCATATGTCTGGTTACAGTTTGATTCGTCAGACATACTCATAGTCGTCTGCTGAGGAGGAACTGATGGTTGAGAGAACATTTACAAAGGATATGCGCAAGACATGAGAGCCTAGCAAGAAGTCATTTTCATTATCCACCTCCAAGAAACTAACCACATTGGATTGATCTTCGACTTCTGTGTGATATCGTAGTAGTCTCACTTCAGTTAAGAATGAAAGAAACCTTTTTATAAAGCGTATATCTACTGGATGGAAAAAACGTGGAAATCCATGAGGAAAAGTATACACTCAAGATTGACGAAAGAATGATATTTTCTTAGAGTGTTTCTTGAACAAGCCACAGCCAGACCAGAGCCTGAGCAAGAAAAACCTCTGTTCATATAATTATGATAGACTAGGTAAATGAACCCTACTCTTGTCTACAAAAACAGAAAGTCTTTATATACGTTACGATCTATGTGAGGAACTGGATAATTTTAACGAATGTTCGTAAAAGTAATTACCGGGTGTTTGGAACAGGTCACGATATACACTTTTATGATTTCTAGTAGTTCAAAATCAACGATTCAGTCCCGATTCGTCGACAAATTAATAAAAACTAATTGAAACTTCAGATTCGTCGATACTTTTTTTTCCCGATTCTTTTTTCCTTCTCGAGATGTTCGAAAAATACTCGAAATTCTGTATACAAAACCGTTTTTTACTTTAAAAATCTTTTCAAACCGAAAGCTGAAATCGCTAAAGGACGAGACTTTCTTTTACCTTCATTATATATTTCAACAGAGACCATTGTCATCCATCAGTATTATGATTAGATTAAAAGCTGAAAATTAGAAACAACTTTTATAGTGACTAAAGTACAGAGTAGAGACAGAGCAACAAAAACCTCTGTTCATATCATTATGATAGACTAGGTAAATGAACCCTATTCTTGTCTACAAAAACAGAAAGTCTTTATATAGGTTATGATCTATGTGAGGAGCTGGATAATTTTCTCGAATGTTCGTAAAAGAAATTACCGGGTGTTCGCAATAGAAAAGGAGGGATGTTCGGAACGGATATCTGCTTCTTTTATTAGTGCAGCCGAACAAGGCAAACTCGCATTTTGTGTTGGCTGTTCATGAAAGTGACTGATATTATTATTTTTTCGAGTTTTCACTTTCGAGATTATGAGACGTATTCAAAGAGAATGAATCTTTTTCTTCTGATCATTATTACGCAACGCCATCTAGAGAATTAAGGATGTCATACGTCATGAATGAAGCCAATTCTTTCTCTACAGCTTTATATCTAAGTCCGTTTTGAACACCAATTGTTGTGTCCCGAACATCCCTATGTTTGCGTTCCGAGCACCAAGTAGTTTATTTTACGAAGATTCATCTTTTATCACTGTGTCATGTGGCATAATTCATTCCGAACATCCGTTCTGTATCTTACGAACATCCGTTTTATTGGCTACGAACATCGGTTAGATTCTTTTCCGAGCACCCTTTGGAGAACTAAAATGTCAATTCCGAACATCTGTTGTCAAAGACGGATGTTCGAAATGATAGCGACCAAACGTCTGGAGGTCTATGTTTTTCAGGGCATTTGCAGCGATGTGTATATCTCCACGAAAACTCGGGTGACCTAGTTTTCGTCTTAAGCCATTTCGAAGACCTTCAGAATGTGGAGTATTTAAGCTAATTAGGTGAAGCTATATTAGGTGAAAACTACTCCCATTTTGAAGAGAACACCCCGGGCTATCAGCACATAAAAAAGTCAATAGATTCCTGTTTGAATTTCGGAAAGTGCTAGCTAGTTTTCCAAAGATCTTCTGATAAACTGGCTTCGAAAACTTTATCGAAAATGGGTTTTGCTTATGAAAAGGTAGCCTCAGGTTTTGGCTCTCGAATGGTGAAAATCGCAAGTCTCTATCTTAGTAGAACTATCGATAAAAAGCATCATATCGAGTCGAGAAAGAAATTGCAGTGAGAAACGATCGGTTCAAAGGCAAGACGGTGATAGTGAGACGGCAGAAGAAGAAGATTAATGATCTCTCTCCTCCAGTATCACCGTCTTGCCGTCCCCCTATCATAGAGCATAAGCGAAAGAACGAGAAACAATATGTACGAACGAAAAAGAAGAACTGTCGAGGAGTGTGTGCGTGTGTATATAAGAGAGTGTGAGTGTATGCGTCCTATTGTCTGATGAATCGACACCGAAACGTCACATTTTTACGAATAAAGAAAGATCTTTAATACGGAAGAGTATTCAACTTGATTCAAATAAAGATTTTCTGTTTTTTAAACATTTATGAACAAGAAGCTCAAAGACTTTGCTGATGTTTGATAAGAGCGAGATAAGTCGATGAACACAGGTTTCGCGCAGCCTTTTTATGAATTGCTCTTATCAAAGCTTTTTTCTAGTTTACAAGATTGTTTAGATTTGTATGACACACAGAGTAGACGATTTGAGTATTTCATCATTAAAATGAAGGTTAGCGTGCCTCGTCCATATTGTAGTGTCAATAATAGCAATAAACCATGTTTCTCATTGTATCTTGTGTCACAAAATCAAACTGAAAATAGTTTTCAACAGATACAGTTTGTCTAGTAACTAGATTATTCGTTCCGTATGATTAATCTGACACTCGTCAGCACAACTATTTAATACATTAAAGCAGATCAGCGATGATACTGTCTTAAACCAAACGACTAGTATCTCGGTCTGTCGTAAATAATTATCAACAACAAAAATACAGTTTTTAGAATCAACATCTTTTCCTCTTGACACAAAACTTCACAACAACTTTTTGCATTTATGAAAACAAGCTTGTTGTTAAATATTCTTCTATCTGAATGTGCGTTTGGTTTTCTTCCTAGAAGAATTCAACCTTCACGATGTCTGAATTCTTCCTTTCCATATTGATAATTGATCTTTTGTCGATGTCACTGACACTGTCTTTTCTATCCTTAGTACCATCCATCTCGACGTCCCTTATATGATTCGATAAGATTATATCATCGACGAGTACCGCTTGTCCAATCTCATGTGCCGGCCAAATCTTCCACAGAATCCAGTAAAGAACCAAACCAATGAGAAAAGAATTGAGCCATCCGACGTAAAATATATAAATTGCTCCACCTACTTTGATCGATGGTACAATTTGATTAAGGAATCCAGGAAGATTAATTATGAAACCGCAAATAAGGGCCACGTAACCTCGCCAGTTCCATCCTTTCCAGTACCAATATTTGCCATGAGGGTTATAAAGTTCTCGAGTGTCAATTCGACCGATATTTCGAACAAGCCAAAAATCAGATACCATCACGCCAGCAATAGGACCAAGGATAACACTATAACTACCCATAAACGCGAGAAAACCCTTGGCAGTGTTGAGGATGTACCATGGAACACAAATCCAGGCGAGAAGACTTGCGATTAACGAACCCCGACGAATGTTGAATACTTTTGGAAATATTGCCGAAAAATCATTTGCTGCTGAGATAGTATTAGCAGAGATATTCGTGCCGAGTGTTGCAAGTGCAAATGCAAAAGCCACGAAGAACTTAGCTGCGCGAGAATCGAAATGATCAATTAGTACGGTCGGATCCCATAGTACGCCGTCTTTGTAAATAATCGCTGATGCAGACGAGACAATGATGCCGATGAGACCAAAGGCCGAGAATGCAACGGGTATAATAATAGCTTGGACCCATGTATTACCAGGTTTCTTGGCATATCGAGTGAAATCTCCAATATTGCATGAGAGAGTAGCGTAGTTACCTAAAACCGAGTTAAGGGAAGCCAGCCAAGCCCACGCAATCTTGCTGAAGCCATGAATTGTACCAGGTTGAGCAAAAACTGGACCTGTTCCGCCTGCCGATTTCAGTGCCCATATAAGTACAGCAATTGTAGCTATTGGCATGACAATGGTTTTGACCACAAATAGCCATTTGATCTTCCTCATTGGCATCAACACGAATGGTAGTTGGATCATGAAATATATGAAGAAGCATAATAGTCCAGCCGAAGTGATCTGAGCACTTGCTGGTAAATGATTCGGAAACGCACGGAAACTCGGCCATATAGCATTGATCATTTGCCTGACACATTCACTACCGATATAAGTTTGAACAGCACCCCAAATAATGGCTAGGAAACCTCGGGACACCACAACAAAGCAATTTCCAATCATACCAAACGATGCACGAGTGACTACTGGAAAGGAAACATGGAGATATGCACCTGACCATCCATTCAAGCAGATAGGAATGGCAATTATCGAGTGTCCAATGATAATAGCGGCAAATGCACTTTTCCAAGTCAATCCAAGTGCAATCATTGAGCTTGCCATTGACCATGTTGAGATTGTGAATGCATCAGAGATCCAATAACAGATAACATAAAATGGATTTGTCCATGTTCGTTCGTGTGGTGGAACAGGATCGAGATCCTTGTTTGACCAACGGTTGGATGGAGCAAATGAAGATATATAGGGTTCGAGAATGATGTTTTTCTTCAATTTTGCCCATTTGTCGGATGCACGAAGTAACACCATTGCAATGATAAGCTAAAAATTCATGAAAGATATGTCATATCTACTTCCTTTTCTATCATATAGCGATATGGTATTCACTCAGAATAAATATACACTAGTTGCCCTTGATAACAGTAAAACCGTAAAACATCAAATCTGATGCAACAACTTGCCGTCAATAAAAAATTTAGTGCAACTTTCTGGCGCTATGTATGTACGTTTCCGAAAAGAGCTTTGAAAGAAAACTGAAGTAAACTTTTCTGAAACGGAGAGAAGTCAAAGTTGAAGACTTTCAAAACTTCCCCGAGTCTTTAGCGCTACAACGAAAGAAATAGAGAAACACCTATAGTTGAGTCACTACAAAGTCTGCTTTCGTTTAACTGAAAAGTAATTCAAATTTTCTTTTTTCTCGATGGTTTTGTTCATGACAGAAAAATTATCTATTTTCATCTTTTCATTTAGGGCAGCCATCAAAAGTAATTGAACGCGTGGAGCGTGGACTGTAATCCACGCATAGATAAATTTGCTCATTTCTCTCGACGCGTAGATATAGATGAAAATCGTTCGTTTTTCTTTTTTTCATTTAATTAGCAAAAAGAGAAACAACTCATATGTACAGAATGGAACAAATTTTCGTTTTCTCTCACACTCTAACTTATATAAAACTGAGCTATATCTTTTCTTTAAAAGATAAAATAAAGAAGAACAAATTTTATCTTTTAGTCTAAATGTTGATGTACTCGATCCCGCTCATCGTGACTTTAATGCAAAAATCCCTCAAGTTAACGAGTTAAATAGAAATTAATTAGAGAGTATCCATTTCTGCTTTTTATACCAACTGAAAGGAAAAGTGTTCGATGTTGTGCCGAGCTATTTTTCTTTTGCTTTTGAGATATAGGGTCAACAATGTCATTGCTTGGCTTCATCAAAACATAGAATTTTTGCTTTTCATTGAGTATGTAGATTACTTTTAAGTGGAATTTTTGCACTACCATGGTTTTTCAGCTGTCTCTTCGGGTCATAGTAGTCGGAGGAGATGCACAAAAGATACGTTTTTTGTCGTCTGACGAACCGCAAACTTTCCGCTAAACCGCTTATTTGAAATATAGAAGAAATAGAAAAAATGAAGGCTGAAATTCTAATTATTTGTTAAAAATCTTCTCTGAGAATACCAGTTATAATTATCGGTTACAACCGCTCATCGGTTAATCGTAACTGGTGCATCCTTAGATCACATACAGATTTATATACGCGACATTAAAAAGAAGATAAAGCTCTACACGCTAAGGCTCTAATATTCATCTATATCTAGGCGTGTCGAAATATATGCGTAGAATATAGTCTGCGTCCAATGCGTTCAATTATTTTCAACGAGTATTATCGTCTATTTCTTACTTTTGACTGGCGTTCTTGACTCTCTTCGAACTATGCCTCACGGCCACATTAAAAACTCGCCGATACTTAAATTAAATATATACGTTTTTTTATCTGTATCCAATGATCTATTTTTATTAGTTGAAAAACATAATTTAGTGCTGAAAAATACTCACAGAAGCAAATAGTCTCACTTTTCGATTTCTATACGCTATGCAAGAGTTACCGAAATTCTTAATAAAGTTTTTTGTTTAAAAAATGATTGGGAAATACATTATTCATCGCCCTTTTTTGCGCTGATTAAGAGAAAAACTTGATCAGTTTACATACCGCAAATATATTTTGTAACTGTTTGTACCACAAAAAAAGTACACACCAGTGGATAATATTTAATATAATTTGTATAAATATTTATATATATAAATAATTTTACATCTATTTTTGTCTAAATTTGAATATTATTATACCATTAATTTAACATTATCATCATTATGATTGCTCTCATAGAGTTACAATCAATCTCTAGAGAAAAAAATCTAAAATATAGACAAAGAAAAATATATACGAATTTTCTTCTGGAGCCTCCATGAAACGTATCGACTGTTCCACAGGCATTGTGTTACATTTCTGTCACTATTTTGTAACATTTTTCAATAGTTAATCCACGAAGGACTTGGTTTTTTTATGTCCGTTTATAGAAGTCCGTGATTGTGCTAATTTGTAAAAGTTCCAAGTTATTTGGCTTAATAATTTCGGCGTTCTAACTTCAACAGACAGCGTTAGGTAAAAGTTTCCCGTTTTATCATAAATTGCTGCTAGATTCACTTCTTATTTTATTTTATTTTATTTTATTAATGAATTTTTATTCTGCACTTTCGAATCAACGATTCATCATCAGAGTTAAAATATTAACATTTAACATAGTTAAACCTACACAATCAATGAGACTAAGGACGTTATTCTATAAATATATATTTATAAATGTACGTGATAACCTACACAGAAGAGATGTAGAACTACATAGAGAAAAAGAGAAAGAAAAAGAAGAATACGGAATGTACAAATTTTTGGGCTATTCTTAACTGAATGGAATAAAGATTATAAGCTTACTGTAATACATGAAAAATAGTTGACTATAGATCAATCTTTTTATATTTAATATTTTCTGTTTCACATGAGATCAATGACTGAAAGAAAGAGCGAACCTACTATCTGTTCTTTCGTCTTTTGTGATCTGTACCTGTACGGATGACGCTAAAAGTAAAGAAAAGAGAAAACATAACGTGTGACGTTAAGGAAAATGTTTGTCTTAAGGTACGAAACGAAGAACCTACGTATACCACGCGTATCTGTCAGCTACTCAAAAACTGTATGCATGTTTTTTACTAAATGTCCAGCTGATCGAAACGCAATTTTATCTTTGTATATGAATAACCATGTGTTAGAGCAAATAAAAATCTTCAAGTATTTAGGCTTCACATTGGATCAATGTTTAGCTTTCTCTTCTCATATCGAAGATGTATGTTTACGTGCTCGAAAGAGACTGGGTGCGTTAAAGAGTGTTTGTGGCAGACGTTGGAGGCTTTACCCCAATACGGCGATTCTTGTGTACAACACATTTGTCCGTCCTCGTCTAACATATTCTTCTCCTACTCTTTTGTGTATTTTCGAGTCCAGTTGAACGAAACTTCAACGTGTTCAAAACACCGCGCTCAAAATTTGTTACCGTCTTCCCCCGTGGTACCCTATCCATGATCTTCACACTCTTCCTTCATGTAAAATGCTACAAATGTATACTCTAATGCTAGCTTCATCTTTCATCATTTATGCTGTTTTATATAATAATCTTATTGTTTATATTGTTAACTTTTACCTCATGCATGAGCGAAAGCACGAACTGAATCGCTTACTTCCGCGTTTAAACCCGATGAAAACCATTGTATGTGAACTTTTAGAGCTGGAATTTGATTAAAAATGTATGCTTTTTCTTACGAGGGAAGATCCAGTTTTCCAGAAAACCAGTTTTTCAGAAATTTTAAAAAATAACCAAAACATTATTAAATAAGATATAATTGTAGCGCGCACATTTCTGATTAAAATGAGACATTCCCTAGCTCTACATGACGTTTATTTGCAAAGTTATAGAATTTACAAGAAAAGCCCTGAATTAATTTCTTCTTATTTCTGTAGCTTTGAGCCGGCAATGAACATTTAGGGCTTTTCTTGTAAATTCTATAACTTTGCAAATAAATAAACGTCATATAGAGCTGGCGAATGTCTCATTTTAATCAGAAATGTGCGCGCTACAATTATATCTTATTTAATAATGTTTTGGTTATTTTTTAAAGTTTCTGAAAAACTGGGTCTTCAAGAAACGTTGGGAAAAATGCTTTATGCCACTAGAATCAGCTCGTCGAGCTCTATCGATTGGGGTACCTCTCGTTAGCATCTGTGATTAACACTTGGGATAGTTCCCTCGT